CTCTCTCTCTCTCTCTCTCTCTCTCTCTCTCTCTCTCTCTCTCTCTCTCTCTCTCTCTCTCTCTCTCTCTCTCTCTCGCGTGCTCGCGTGGCCGCCGTCGTTGTCCCGTCGACAGTACGCGAGGAAGGTCGGCACACTTGGTGATTGCGAGGTGAGTTCCTCCGCTCTCTTCTTCTTCCTCCTCTTGTTCTTCTTGTTCTTGTTCTTCTTCTTCTTCTTCTTCTTCTTCTTTCTTCTTCTTCTTCTTCTTCTGACTTCGACTTCAGAGGACTTAGACTTTAGAGGACTTCTACTTCGACTTCAGAGGAGAGAGATCATTGGTTGATCTATTGGTGACAGTGTAGGATTTGACGACTTATGATATCGGATAACATCAGGATTTAGGGACTAGTACCGGCGGTGTTCTGACCCGACACCGGTTACATCAGGGATTATGTGTGACGACCCTGGTGACTAGCCCCAAATCCATGTCACCTCCGTGTCACTTCCCTCGTCTCTCCTGCCCCCTTCGTCTTTGTATGGTTGCACGGATCTGAAACGCCTTCCGTGTTTGGCTTCAGATCCATCGAAAAGAAAAGGAAAAAAAAAAAAAGAATATGGATCAAACCTTGGGCCAGGATTATATTTTTGTTGAAAAAAAAAAAACGACAAAAAGTTCCATAACAAAGAAAGAATGAATGAAAGGAACAAAGCAAGAAACAAAGAAAGACAGAAAGGAGAAGAAGAAGAAGAAGAAAAACAAAGGAAAAAAGAAATATAACCAGGTTACGATGGCCCTACCATGTCGCAGGGCGCCGATCGGCCGAACCCATCAAACCCGAGCATTTCATTTACCCCCCCACCCCACCCCCTCAAACAACCTTTGTTTTTTTTTTTGTTTCAAAACAAAATCAACCTTTTCGGTGCCTGTTGGCGCCATAGCTCCAGTGGCCAACAGACTTTCAGAGGCCTTCAGGCAAAGGCGCCACCTTCCACTGTCCAGGTACGGTTAGGATGAGGACAGGGCAAAGAGGTTAGGATGAGCACTGAGCATCTTGCCTATGGCGGGCGCTGTGGATGACGATGGAGAATAAGAAGAAGAGGAAGGAGTAGAAGAGGAGGACGACGAAGAAGAAGAAGAAGAAGAAGAAGAGGAGAAGGAAGAAGAAGAAGAAGCGGAAGACAACCATCGTCGTTTCTCTTCTTTCTCTTCATCTGTTTCATGTCCTCCCTCCTCCTCCTCTTCTTCGTCGAAGTTGTCTTCCTCCTCCTTGTCATCGCTGTCTTCCTCCTTCTCACCCTTTTTCTCTTCCTCTCTGTCCTCCTCCTTTTCCTCCTCGTCGTCCTCATCATCATCATCGTCTTCGTCGTCATGTGCTCAAGCTTTGGCGATGCTTCGTGTGTGTCTGTGTGTGTGTGTGTGTGTGTGTGTGTGTGTGGGTGTGTGTGTGTGTGTCTGTGGTCTCTCTCTCTCTCTCTCTCTNGCCACATGTCTGTTTCTTAAGGGACGCTGGGCCCGGTTGTCAGCAGGTGTAGCTCCCCACCAATAGATGGAGCAGCCCAACGGGGAAACCCTCAATCCTGGCGGTTCTCTCACCACCGCCGGGACAGGGCTGTCTCTTATACACATCTAGATGTGTATAAGAGACAGGTGTCTGCTTGAGGGTGACGCATCTTTCTGAAACGTTTCTTGGAATCTGAGTACTTACGCAGGGGCTATTCAAAAAAAAAAAACACAAAACAAAAACAAATAATCAATCCATCAATCCATCAATCCAATCAATACATTGATTGATTGATTGATTGATTGATGACTGTGTGTGTGTGTGCGTGTGACTATGTGTGTGACTGTGTGTGTGTGTGTGTGTGGTCTCTCTCTCTCTCTCTCTCTCTCTCTCTCTCTCTCTTTTCAAACAAAACAAAAACAAATAATCATTCAATCAATCAATCAATCAATCCTTCAATCCAAGCAATATAATGATTGATTGATTGATTGATTGATGACTGTGTGTGTGTGTGTGCCTGTTTGTGCGACTCTGTGTGCTCTCTCTCTCTCTCTCTCTCTCTCTCTCTCTCTCTCTCTCTCTCGCTTCAAACAAAAAATAAAACAAAACAAAAACAAATAATCATTCAATCAATCAATCAATCAATCCTTCAATCCAATCAATATAATGATTGATTGATTGATTGATTGATGACTGTGTGTGTGTGTGTGCCTGTTTGTGCGACTGTGTGTGTGTGTGTGCTTTCTCTCTCTCTCTCTCTCTCTCTCTCTTCAAACAAAAAGAAAACAAAACAAAAACAAATAATCAATCCATCAATCCATCAATCCAATCAATACATTGATTGATTGATTGATTGATTGATTGATTGATGTCTGTGTGTGTGTGTGTGTGTGACTGTGTGTGTGACTGTCTGTGTGACTGTGTGTGTGACTGTGTGCGTGACTCTGTGTGTGTGTGTTGTCTCTCTCTCTCTCTCTCTCTCTCTTCTATTATTCTAACAGAAACAAAACAAAAAAAATGCAAATAATCAATCAATCAATCAATCAATCAATCAATCAATCCAATCAATAGATTGATTGATTGATTGATTGATTGATGACTGTGTGTGTGTGTGTGTGTGTGTGACTGTGTGTGTGACTCCAAATGAGGGACATGCTGCATTATTGTCACCACGTGGAGAAGAATCTGGAAGACCTCATCGAGACCATCCCGTTGGCATGGTACCGTATCCTTAAACAAGGCCTCTCCCTCAAGGAGGGGGATTGGATGGCGACCAAGGAAGACTTAGGAAGTCCCACAACAAATTGGTCAGATACATATGGTAGACCCAAAAATGGTCCTAGTGGAATATTTTGCCGTTGCCTGAAAGGGGACCCTTGAAGGAAGTAGAGCTTCTTTTGAATGGGTAACGAAAACATCGGTGTATCGGATCCGGGTTATGGAAGAGAAAGGGGAGAAGACGGCCTTTCAACCGCAATGGGCCATTCAGGAACTGCACCTGGACCCAATCGAATGGACTTGGCTCTTCCCCAGAAAGGGGGACAGATACAACAGGTCCCTTAACCCTCCACCAGTTGTCAGTCAAATCTGCCTACCGGATGTTTAGGCCTAAGCAGTACCTAAGGGATGTAATTATGGACCGCTGGGCCAAACAGCTAAACGTGGACCGCTCCCTGC